AAAAAAAAAAAAAAAAAAAAAAAAAAAAAAGGACAAATTCGCAAAGGCGCGCGCTACGAACGCGAACAAGCATCGTTACCAGCATCAGTTGAACGAGCATCTCGAGCATGTCCGGCCCAAGATCCATACTCGGTGCGTTGGTAAAGTTCTCGTGTATGTAACGAAAGGTACCAGCAGCACGAAGGAACGCGTCGATCGCCTGGTCCAAGCCGCGGGTGGACAGACGATCCTGCTTGGCGGCCAGCTGCGTGTACAGGGCGGCTGCGTTGAACAAGACCGAAGCTTTCTCGAACGCGACGGTTCGTTGACAGCTCGGGACGCCTGTCAACGAATCGAACCACTCGAAGTAGATGCCCAGGCTTCGATCCGGCGGGAAGAATCTTCGCTCGATGAAGTACAGTTGATTGTAGTAGCGCAACAACAGCGCGATGCCTGCTGCGTCTCTGGTCGGCGTTCGCGTTGCCTTTCCAACAATAAGACAATTGCATTTTTTCTTTCCTTTCTTTCTGCCTCCCCGACTGTCAGCCAGTCAGTCAGTCAATCCGTTGGATCGTAATCGTCCAATCTTGCTCACCTGTCTAGTTTCCATCAGATCCACGATTGCCTCCTCGTAATTGGCCCCGTCTTCGCTGTAGTGCTCGAGGATGAAGTCCTGCGCGCGAAAATCATCACGAACAATGGTTCAGTGGAACGGAAGAGAGGGAGAGAAAGAGGTAACAATCGAGCGCCTGTTGAATCGATACGCGCCGCCGCCGCTTAGCGACCGCGAAAAGAAGTTCACCGTTCGTGGATCATCCGCGGGAGCGAAATGTCAAGAATCACGCTCGATTTATTACGAAAGCGTTCGGAGCACAACGAGGGCGAGATCTCGACGTTGGAGGAGATCGCCCTGCACCAACAGAACATCGAGAAGATCGAGCTGATCGACCGGACGTGCAGGCATTTGAGAATTCTGTTGCTTCAGAACAATCTTATATCGAGGATCGAGAACCTGGGCAGATTGAAGAGGTTGGAGTACTTGAATTTAGCGCTGAACAACATAGAGGCGATCGAACATTTGGAAGGGCTCGAGAGTTTGAGAAAGTTGGACCTAACCGTAAACTTCATCGGCAATCTCCGAGGGATTAAAACGTTGAGGTATATTACGTCGTATATTAAATTAAAAGTTATACAAAATGTCAAATTCAAAATCGTATCGTAACACTTTCGTATATATGCGATAATAATTTCGCATTTCCTTGGAGATACGACGTGAAAATCCACATTACGAATCGGACGTATATCGCAGATGCAACCAACACTTGGAACAGCTGTTCCTAATGGGGAATCCGTGCGCGGATTACCAAGGATACAGGGAATACACGATCGCGACGCTGATTCAACTGAAGGAGCTAGACGGCACGCCGATCGAAAGATCCGAGCGGATAAAAGCATTGCAAAATTACGCCGGGGTCGAGGGTGAGATCATACGAGGTTACGCGAGCTACAAGAAAACAAGGGAAACGGAATTGCACGATTATCGCGAACGAACCGCGGGATCGAATCGAGTAAGCTCGAGTTTTCATTTTCACTGTAAATGAATCACGCGCATACTTGCGATCCCATTGCCATTTATTCTATTCTGTTCGTAGAAAGAGAAAAACGAGCAAGTAGAAGAGGAAGAAGAGGAAGAAGAGAAAGAAGAAAAAGAGGAAGATGATGAACAGTTTTGGAATCGACCCAGTCGTCACACGCCGGAGGAACGCGTCGCCATTGCGGAACGGTTCATGCGAAAGGAGAAACAAAGAGAGAAGCGGGAGAAAAATCGAGCAGAACCGCGAGTCACTTATAAATTGAAGCTGTTCGACTCGGACGGCAAACCGTACAATATGAATCAGCCGAAGGTGCCGTTTAAATTGGACGAGGAGCAGCACGACATCGTCTTGGAAGTAACCGTGTTTAAGTACGACTTGACGAGACAATTGAACTGAAGCAGCGAGAGATCCAATGATTCGAAATCCAATGTACGATTTTTCAGGTATTTGGACACTTGCTACGTCGACGTGGACGTGAATCCTGATTACGTGCGCGTTACGATCAAGGGAAAGATACTGCAGCTGACGTTGCCTTGCGAGGTATCGGTGAACGAGAGCACGGCTCGAAGAAACACGACGAATGGCAAGTTAGTGGTGACGATGCGGCGCTTAAACCCGCTACCTACGATCCTCCCAAAGTACAGAGAAACGATCGACCGACGCAATCGACCGACGATCGAACGACGATCGAGGACGAGCGTGCGCGAATACTTAGAGATCGGGCCAGTCGCAAACGACTTGGACGACTTCTCGAGAATCGTCGTCGCCCGATCGACCGTCGACGATAGTCCAAGGACGAAAGACGAAAAGATCAGCGACGACAATTCGGAGAT